GTACAGAAGAGAAGGGATCATTTTATTTATATGCATTAGGGGAAATGAGCAAATAACTAATATTTGAGTGAGGCCATAATGGTTGAGTAAGAGTTTTCCAGGTGAAAGTATGGCAGAAAGGCATAGGACTTCAATGTGTATTAACACTGGATAGATAAATGGGAGGGAGAAATGAGGAGGAGGGAAAGGGCCATTATGATACTGATGGAATATGTTCTGGAAAATGCACTAACTTGGTTTCTTAATAAGTACTGAAGATACCATACTATTTTTTTTTTTTTTTTGAGACAGAATATCACTCTGTCACCCAGGCTGCAGTGCAGTGGTACAATCTTGGCTCACTGCAACCTCTGCCTCCTAGATTCAAGCAATTCTCCTGCCTCTGCCTTCTGAGTAGCTGGGATTATAGATGCATGCTGCCATGCCCGGCTGATTTTTGTATTTTTAGTAGAGACAGGGTTTCACCATGTTGCCCAGGCTGGTCTTGAACTCTTGACCTCATGATCCACCCACCTCGGCCTCCCGAAGTGTTGGGATTACAGGCGTGAGCCACTGCGCCTGGTGATATCATATTATTAAATAGGGTTTCATAACCTGGAATCAATGGATAAACTGATGCAAAATGAATTTACCTTGGGAGAGACCGTATAGATTTATAAAATCTTTAAAGGGACCTATGATACCCAAAATAAATCTGTTAAACTTTTGTGTGTACCTTACTCCACAGAGCATATACAACTATGAAGTTTTAGTAACAAAAGAAGTTTCTAATTTAAAAGACACCTATATTTGGGCATAGAGAAGGCAAAATAATTTTCTTTAGCTAATTAGCACCCTCATTAATTTTGCTATTTCATGTTTAGATGCAGATATTCTTAAAGCTAGGGTATATCAGCGATCCTAATAAACTACTGAACCTCCCAATTATTTTGTCTTTAGAATTCTTTCTATCATAAAGGAGGCTGGGTAGGATTTCAGAAGTCATTTAGTTCAATACTTAGCTACAGGCAAATCCATGCCCAAATCATCCCAGATGGGGAACTATTTTTAAGCATCTTGAGTTCTTGCATCCTCCCTCCCTTAGTAATATGTTTGCACACGTCATAGCAGGAACTCCAGTATTTGAAAATTTCACCACTGTGAAGAGTTTGGAGACACTCTGAGCATTATATAAACATGACAGATTTTCTGTTTGCCTATGTTTGCCAGTCTAGGTTGTCTCCTGTGCCATTAGAATCAGGACACCATAATGTGTGTGGATAAATACTTTGGAAATGACAGTGGAGCTGGTGGGCATTTAAGAATAGATTAGAAAACTGAAAGTCCCATGCCAAAGGAAACTATCCTCCAAAGACGGGAGCTAAGGAGGCGACCCAATTAGTCTTCCCTTCTCTAATTTCCCTGATTACATATCTTCTTTTACCCCATGTGTTATACCTTACCTAGCAAGTTCCCCCAGACATAGACCTAATCAAGAAGGCAGAATGTATGTGCAATGCAATTTAAATGAGAGCTGTGCTATGCTATGTGACTAACAGTGAGGCCTAAACAACAGGGAAGCCCCTGAGGCACAAAAAGTGGCTGGTCCAGATAACATGCTGCTGTGGATTTCAGAGAAAATGGGGACAGAAACAATTGAATGTCAGCTCCTATTTGGGAAACTTCATTGGAGAGAGGGTGACTTTCCTGAGGAATGGGGTGTGGCAAACCATGCAACCACAAGGCACATTAGCAGATGCAGATGGTATTTCTTTGGCTAGAATTCTGGGTGATGGGGAATGTGAGTAGGCATGAAGTCCTGGAAAAGAAGCAAGTCTCTGCAACTCCTTGGGAGCACTGGAATCACCAAGCACTGATACACTAGTGCTATGGGATACAGTGAGCCACAGAGGGAAGGTCTTAATCAGGAAAGACGTTTTTCTTTTAAAAATCTAAGTTAATTACTTTTTCATATGTTGAGGTCAGCCCATGCTGAGCCCTTCTTTGGACTTAATCCTTTAAGCAGTGAAGCAGAGGGACTAAGGGGGCAGCCTCAGAGGAGCCCAACTGCCAGGATTCGATTCTGGTGTTTCAGTAGCTACTTAAGGGCTGTATGAATGTGGGCAAAGTATTTCACCTATGAAGACCTCAGTTTCATCACCTGCAAAATAGGCGTAATAATAGAATATAACATTTGGACAATGCCTGGCGTAGAGGAAAATTTTAAATAATCCTGTTGTGTGGATTAAATAAGGGTAAAGCATGTGGCACAGTGCCTGCCACACACCGTCCGCGTTCAGTAAGTGGTACTTTTGTTCCTGTGACAACAACAAATAACGTGATGAAGAAGGTTAGAAAGGTCCATGTGCCAAGATCAGAGGAAAAATGGACAGAAATATAGCAACCTACACAGAGCAGGGCTTGACATCTTGGAATCTTTATGGGAAAAGATGGATACAATGGCAATAAATTAGGGGAAATATTGGGAGTACAGAGAAATTATCATCACTGTTTCTTTTTATTTGTGTTTATTGTGTGGTGGTGGGGTGATTACCAGTTTTATTGGAATGTTTTATAAGCTGCTAGATTTACTTACTGAGAATGAACAGATAAATAGGGATGTTATTCAGCTGTGTCATGCCATGGGCTCTCCTCAAGCTCTTTCACTAACTCGCAGACAAGGTTAATTAATGAGGGAAGTTGAGTGCAGATGAGGAGGAGGAGGGGAAGAGCCGGATCTGCTGGGTGATTCATCTTATCGGGAACAGAGGAGGAATCAACTTTTGTTCGTAGTAGTTCTGGGGGAGGGAGTAGGGCATCGGCTGGAGACTCTCACGGTATCTTGAGAAAGACTTGCTGACAGGGTGTGTCAGGGGAGTATGGTCACTTTAACATTCCATGATTTGCTAGGATGTGGAATAGCTCCTAAATCTTTTCCAATCCTGGATGTTCAAGGTTGCATTTTTAAGTATTTTGTTTGTTTCTTGAAGGCCCATTCTTACTGCAAGGCATCTTTAATCCTAAGCCCAAGTTGCTTCAGAAACATCTTTCTTCCATTTGTTTGCATGATGGTCCCTTTGCATTCACCGCTCACAGGTGACATCCTACCTCCTCAGGGTGACCTTCTGTAATCTTCCTATTTAAAGTGTCCTCCTGCCCTCATCAGCCACCCCCTCACATTACCTTGCTTTGCTATCTGCAGAGTAGTATAGTCAAGTGGTGAAGTGCATGTGGTATGGAGCTGGACTCCCCAGGTTCAAACCCTGGCTCTGCTCTTTCAACATGTGACATTGAGAATACTAATTAGCTTTCTATCCTTACTTTGTCTGTAAAATGGAAACAAAAATACTTTAAGAATGCTGTAAGGGCTAACACAGGTGAACTATATCATGCCCAGTATACTGCAGTGTTCCTAAATACTGGCGATTATTATTTTAGCCATCATTATAATCTCTAGTGTGTAGTGTGAAAAAATTAAGAAACATTAAATTATCAAATAATACTGGATTATACTTAATATTGCTTTTTGAAACTATATCTCACTCCTCTCACCCTTCTTCCCTCCTAGGATGTGCTCCCTCCAAACCAGTAAAAATGAATAAAGGTGAAGAAAGAATGCTGAGAGACAGAAAAGAGTTAGAAAGGAAGCCCCATGGTTCCTAAAATGTGAAATGCAAAGAATGTGTCCTTCTAGCATTAAAATAACAAGAATCTCAACATCTGTGGTCTGCTTATAGAATTCCAAACTTGCTAAGGCTACATAGTTAGCTAACGAATGCAGCCAAGCAGGGCAAAAGACAATGGTCCTAAGTAGGGATAGGGTCTGTTTTATTTCCCGGGACACACTCCTTTGTAAGAAGCCTCTGTCTGGTAGAGCTGGAGGGGGTGGAGCTGCCCACGTGCCTCTCCTCCACATCACACCTGCTAAAGGTTAAGGCTGCTCCACGTGAGCCTTTTAGACTCCAGCACGGCTCAGCTAAAGGTCGTTCTTAGAGGGACCTGCTTCTCTACTTCTCCTGTTTTTCTGAAGAATTAATATCAAAGAAAGTGCCTGACTCTGACTTTTATACAGCTGCTAGTCTCCGCATGACTTAGGTAAGGTTTTGAAGGCCTAATAACAATGGCTGTTACCATCCCCGGTAACAGGACAGTCACCTTAAAGAACTGAACTATCAGAAGTTCTAAATTCTAGAACTGGGAAAGGTCACAGCGCCTGGTCACATTGACGGTACATGCCATTTCTGTTTGCCCTCCACAGATAATCAATATTGTTTGAGATTGGTTAGTGTGTTGTAAAATTGATAAGATTCAGGTTGCCAAAGGCATTTCATGAATTTCATAGGTCTTAATTTATGTTGCTGTAGTAACTGAAACATTAGAATTTCCTGAGATTAGAAGGCTTTTATATCTTTAACCTTAAAATGATGATTATGCAGATTTTGACTCCGGACTTGGTCTTTGCTTGTGAGGAACTTATATATGTTGAGTACTCTGTGAATGCTAAGGTGTGACTGCATGTTCCATAAATACAGTTTCAAAATTCAAGTTTCCAATATCTCCCCTGATTTTCTCATCTATGTGTACAAATCTTGGTGGCTAAGATGTTATTAAAATGGACAGCCTTTCTCTAAAGAGAAAGGGAGAATTTGAAGGGGAAGGCGAGAGAAGTGGAACTCTCCTAAGTAACAGTTCTAGAGCACTCATCTTAAGGACTGAGATGAAATTGGCTCACCTTCTCCATTAAAGTGAATTTCCAGCAGGTGCGGAAGCACTTGGCATATTTTTAATCAATGTTTTAAGAAAAGACACTATATTGGGGCTTTCAGCACACCAGCAATGTCTGAGGTGAGAAGGAGAGGTGTAAAAAAGCCCCTGCATGGGACAGGAAGGTGACTAGGAATCCTATGGGCTCCTGAGGATCACGTGTTCATTATATGGACCTAAAGCAGCTGGAAAATTCAATGCAAATTATCTAAAATTGGCCTGAAACAGAAATCTCTCCCCTCCCGGAACCAGCTTACCTTATATCCTGATGATTTGATGTGCACACCTCGTTTGGTCAGAGTAGATTTCATTCGGATGAAAAAGGAACGCTCAAGAGCGTTGTCAGTGGTTAGCAGACTGGGGCTGGTTGACTCCACTGAGGAATACAAAAATACAGACACACATGATTTAGATCTTTACACAGCCCTCACAGCTACAGCTCAGGTGCAATCCTTGAGTTCACTAAAAATAAATGACTGATGGGTGCTAAGAGCAGTAGTAATCAATTTACCTCATTTAGAAAATGTTTACTTTGCAGAAAATAAAAAAGAAAAATTAATGTATCTAGAGTAACCTCGTTCCAGTTTCTAGTAAGAGCTTTTCAGGCCTTTTCACTTCTAGCAGCTGCCTAAGTGGGGTCTAGTCATAAGTAACTGCAGTTCACTTGAGGCTGGGCTGGTGCACATGGAGAGAACTGGCATGAAAAAGAAGGACCCATAGATTTATGAGGTCAACCAAGGTAGAGGCAGAGATGCTTGTGATAAAGGGTAAGGAAGGCTTGCTCTTTGCTCTCCCTGAGAATCCATTCTTGTGCCATTTGCCTCCTGGAAGTTTGGGAACCACAATCAAGGTTAGAGAGTCATGTCCTGACCGGCGTCCTCACCCCTCTGAGCTGGTTTTTTTTTATCATGGGGAGTAAGAAGCATAAATAAGAGATGGAGAGATAAGAATGGGATTTACACACAGAAACAAAAACTACCCACGACTTTCCATTCCTGTCACTTAACACCAGCTTTCAAGCCCACCTCCCCAAATAGGAGAGTCTGTTTTTTCACTTTTGTGCTTCTGATATGAGGAAACAATGGTTTCCTTTCTTTCTTTTTTTTTTTTTTTTTTTTTTGGCGGGGTTTCTCTCTTGTCCACCCGGCTGGGGCGCAATGGCGCGCTCTCCGCCCACCACCCCCCCCCCCCTGGTTCAAGGCATTCTCCTGCCCC